CCCCAAAACCCCAAAACCCCAAAACCCCAAAACCCCAGATACATAATATTAGAAGGCAAATCTTATAAATAAAATCTATCTTTAAAATTAATGGAACTTTTAAGAAGCGCAACTGAGGCTTGGAACGAAGATTATTTTCTTGCAAATTCCAACAATTTAGAAATAGAGAGGACTCTAGCAACCCAACACAACACACTCAATAGAGCATTATCTACAAGAGCTTAAGAAGTTCTTAATAAAGAACGATCAATTCTTTTTGAATAAGTCCTTCCCGATGAACCCTTAAATAGAGTGATTGAAATTGATTTTGATGAAGATTGTAAGTCTAAAAATATGTTTCAAACCTCATTAATAACTATTAAAACATTCTATGATAAAACAGTTTACTAAACTTTCTTAATTAGCTATCGATGTTGAGGAATACATGAGAAAAAGAATAGCTTTGATTTAAGCAACAAGAAAGGATCATTTTTCAGCAGGTATCTAGCTTCAAAAGATCGATATCTATGCTGAAAAAAAATTGATGAAACTTAGAGACGAACTCTATGAGGAGGATCAATCAATCATCACTGGATTTTTCTTTGATAAGTATCAAAAGCTGTAGAAATCGAGACTTTATGAGGCCCTTAAGATGATGCCAAAGCCAGCTGTGCATCACTGTCATTTGACTGCTGCTGCCCCTATTGATTATTTGATCAGATTGACATACTATGACTTCGTCTACTACAATGATAGAGAATAGCTTTTTAAAGTCAGCAGAAATGGCGTAAATCTTGACGGCTACTAGTAGGTGACCACTTTGAGAAAGTATTGGTCCAACTCAGTAACCTTTGATAACTACATCAAGCAAAAAATCCTTATGGGAAGAGACCAATGTGCTTGCTAAGAATCTCACACTATCTGGCAAGCATTTTAGCCAAAATTCATGTTAACTTGTGGTATGCAATAAAGTATCTTTTAAATATCTTTTAGATCTTTACAATCATTATGAATTCTTTGAAAAGATTCTCTTCAAGGTATGTAAAGTCTTCATCAAGGAAATGGTATTTGTACTAGAATTAAGACATATCTTCGGCATGGTAATAGACGACAATGGAAATCCTATTGGAGTGCCAGAGGAAATCAAAATATTTAAAAGAGTTCTTGATAAGATTAAGAGAGACTATCCACTATTCACTGTTAGGTTGATCATTTGTGGACTCAAAATTATTGGCCATGATCACTGTCTAAAAATGATGAAGGCTACAACAGAGGCTTAATACTTAAGTGAGCTTGTTGTTGGCTGGGATATGGTGAATGAGGAAGATGCATTTGCTCCAATTTTAGACTATGTAAAAATGATAAAGGAGTATCAAGGCCATACTGATGTGGACGTAGTTTTACATGGTAAGAATTACATTCAAAAATCTCAAATATTTTTTAGCTGGAGAGAGCTGTGATAGAAGCAATACAAATGTGATTGATGCAGTCTTGCTAGGCACAAAGAGAATAGGCCATGGATTCGGTCTAGCTAAGCATCCTCATTTACAGGAGATCGTAAAGAAGCAAAATATTTGCATTGAATGCTGTCCAGTAAGCAACATCATACTAGGCTATACTCTTGATTTGAGATGCCATCCAGTTAGAGCATTCTTACATCAAGGACTTCCAGTTTCTATCAGTCCAGATGATCCAGGATTTTTCGATGCTGAGGGAGTCACTTTAGACTATCTTTACGCTTTTATGGCTTGGGAGCTTGACCTTGCAGACTTGAAATAACTTTGTATCAACTCACTCAACTACTCACTTATTACTGATGATGAAAAAGAAAAGATTAGACCATTCTTCGAGGAGAGATGGGTCAGATTCCTTGAATTTGTGAGAGGAAAGTTCTGAGGAGATTTAAATGGGCTAATCCTAAAAGATAGAGAGGGTTTGAAGATCACGAATTAACTGTATAAAGCATGAATTTTTGCCAGAATAAAAAGAAAAATAAGTTGACTTTTTTACATATTAAATTACACTCTTAGTATATTAAGTCTCTCTCATGGGGTTTTGGGGTTTTGGGGTTTTGGGGTTTTGGAATTTGCTAGATTGAGGT